TTTAAAGCAATTGTTTGCAGTCTTGTTGCTATTAAAGCATGCCGGGAGCCAATTAGCAGGAGGCTCAAAGATTCAGTTTGCGCTTCTCATCTTCAGCTGACAAGAACCGTATATATAATATAATATTATTATATATTATTTATATATGTGTGTGTGTATGTATGTGTATATTTATATGTGTATATGTATATAATATATTATATTATATATAATATTTTTTTCAGATGAGCTAATATGTATCTATTTTCCAGAAATATAAACCCTAGTGCCTCTTACTTGTTTTCAGAGGAGACTTTCTGAGACCAAAGATCAATGCAGCTTTAAAGAAAGAGTAACAAAGCCGGCACGTGGACTTTTACAAAATGAGGCTGCATTTTCCCGGTGGTCGTTGCCTCTTTACAATCCTATGAGCCGTGTTTGGGCAATCATGTGAGCCTGTGTTCAAAGGTGCCGAAAGCTCAGAACAGCTACCGTTTTTGCTCAGTTGTTGATGTTCACCCCGACAATTGGAGCATGTCCCTTATGTTTTTGCTAACTGAATGTAGACTGGGCTACTGAAATCCTGGCACCTAAATTTGCAAACCCTACCGTGAAGGGAAACGCTGCCATGACTCCGATGTCCCCTGTGCCCCTCACCTTAAAATAAAAACATGTCACAATGTTGCAAACCAACTGTTCAGCATGGAGCTAAGCAAACCTTGCAAATGAAAATGCCCCATCTCAACGAGGGTTGGGAGCGCTTCACACAAGAGACCTATTTCCTTTGCCCAGGAGAAGGGTCCATGACTGCCCTTCACTTTTGAAAGGGTTGGTTTTCAGTCTTGGGTGCTTGCCTGCCTCTCAGCTAGAAAGGTCCCTGGGGGGGGGGGGGGGGGAAACAAGAACCAGGAGTATGTGGCTTGTATGTAAGATGGGCAGAGATGCTTGTTTTGTCAAACTCTCACTCTTGTACCTAACAATGTCACGCTAACCACTAACTCGAACCCCTGCACTCGACCCCAGCTGCAGCGCCAGTTCCAGTTCTGGTCTGGCGATGACTGACTTGCATGTGATCATTTAACGCTTTCACCTGTGTGCCACGTTCTCCCTGCTTCTTTCCCAAACATAACCTCACTGATGGCCGGTTTGGTCACTTTTTCCTAGTCCCTTCACATCCTGCTAACCTGCTTTTTCCTTTGCAAACTGGTGTCTTGCAGTCCTCCTCTTTGCTAGCTGCTCGTCAGAGCTCCTCCGATGTGCCAACTGCTGCGGATCTTGTCAGTGCAATAGAAAAGTTGGTCAAAAGTAAGCTGGTAAGTGTAGTGCCTTGGAAACTGTGTGGGGAATAGGCATAACTTGCTTCTGTAGCATGAACACAGCACTGTCTGCCTTGACTTCTGTTTCCTTGCTCTCCATCCTCTACCTTCTGCATACTTATTAACTCTTAGCCATCGTAGCTCATCTGAGTAGCTGTCAGCAAAGAGTGAAATGCAGTTGATGGTGTCATGTAGACTCCACCTCCAGAAGTCTCCAAATTTTTTTGAATTTTCAAAGCGTGTTTTTTGAGCTACCTGGCATGATGGAGTTTCAAATATACTCTGGAATCGGAGTCGTTCTTCAGAATGAGCTTCCACCTTTGCATTGTATTAAGAAAAAAGCACCTATATTTATCAGAATCCCCCATGCCGACAGTTTAACTTAGCTACACAAGGCATCTGTCACTTGTGACTCAAGTCTTTAAACAGTACTCCTAAATAGGAAAACAGCTTAACCTCCTAGATATAGAAAATATAAGATCGGAAGGGACCTCAAGGGTCATCTACATCAACCCCATGAACAGGTGCAGGATTCACCTTATGCGTTAGATTGTGGTGTAATTCCTGATCTTGTTGCGGGGGGCTGCTGCCTGTGGTCTAGAAGGTTGTAATTCTTACTTGGCCTCCTTTTAATTGTTCCCTGAAATGATTAAAAATGCTAGTCTACTTGATAAACCTTACATAGACATTCCAGGATGTCTAAATTCAGGCAAATGTTTGGTTTAAGCTCATTGAAAAATTGGGGAATTGAAGCAGATCCATGGCAAGCAAGAGAAGGTTCGTTTCCTTGCCTTTGTTTTAAGGATATGGAGAATAAAGGACTGCTGGGATGCTTGTGAATTAGTGAAAGCATCTTTCCCTGGTAAGGTGATCCCACTGGGCTTTAAAGCTCAGTCTGAGACCTCCAGACAAAGGATGCTGTCTAGTTGGGGAAAATATCTACAGGGTTGTACCATCTGGATAACGAAGCGGGCCTGTTGTGACTCAATTTTAGTGAGGTGACAAATGTAAAAGTCACTGGCACTACTAGAAAGAGGTAGTTAGCTATGTTAGTCTGAAGCCAAACAGAAGGCAGGGTAGATTTGCACCTTAAAGACTGCTACAGCATCTGATGAAGGGAGCTCGGGTTCATGAAAGCTCATGCTATGTATATCTGAGCTAGTGTATCAGGTGCAAATCTACTCTGCCTTCTAGCACTACTAAAAGCCGCTCTGAGAAAATCTTTATTCCCAAACCATTTCACACATGCTTGCATAGCACAACCTCGGTTATTTTTCATGGGATTCAGAGCAACTTTTAAATACCTATTCTGGAAATATAACTAACCATGTACCCACTTTTGGGAAATCTTGGATGCTTTACGGAAGGGAGTCTCCATTATAATCTGCAACAAAGCGTGTATAGTTCAGTTTTTTCACACTTCGAAGGGCAACAAAAGCTTTCGCTTTGTCCTGAATTCTTTCAATATAGTTAAAATAACTTTTTCCGTCTCTGCATAAGGGTGAATACTTTGTCCACTTACAATGATCATGCTGAGGGTTTTGCTGCTCCCCCCACTCAGCTTAAAATATAACAACATTCAGGGTTTGGGGTTTTTTTGTTAAACCTAAAGGAAAGCATAACTGAATATTCCTGTTCATTTGAGGGGTTTTTTGTTCTTCACTATTGCCAAGTTGACTTGAAACAGAGGATAACTCCGGCACTGGGGTTCAAGGACGATGCTTGTTCCATAATGCTTCGGGTTGTTTGGTTTCCTTTAGACCCTAGAAGGAGGATCTTATCGCGGAAGCTTAAAAGATGCCACTGGCTGCTTAAATGAAGGGATGACGCCTTCCACTCCCCCAAGAAACCTTGAAGAGGAGCAAAAAGCCAAAGCAATGAGAGGCAGGATGTAAGTTGTCTTTGTTATTTCTCAGATTCACGTTACTACCAGAAAGAAGATACAGTCCAGTGCATGAGAGATGGGACCAATAGCAGAGGGGCTGGTATCAACTTTGGGTTTTTTTAAACTCTTAGATGAGGATGTTTTAAAACACTCTGAGATTCTTAATCTTAATTTTGCCTTCACTGTTTTAAAAGCATGATTGTTACCATAGTACCAAGTTATGAGGGCTTCCTTGCTATAAAAATCTAGTAGAGACTGTTGGTTTTGCATGAGATGAACAGTGGACTGGGGATATAAGATAGGCAAGGTCAATCTGCCTTAGTTGAAAGCTATGGGGGAGTTTGTCTTCACTTGGGTTTTGGGGCAAGAGTGACAAGTCACATTTTGGCAACAAAGACTCAGGTGTAGTCAGGAACGCCGCTTATACTTGCTAATGAAAGAGGAGTAGGAGGAGGGTTGGTTTACACAAGCCTGTTTTATATTACAATATAAAGAGTATGACAAGGAGGATACCCCTCTCTCGAAGTGCTCTTGATTTTTAAGGCATGTCTTGCAGCTTGTGTGCTTCGCCTCTGTCTTACAATAACCGTCCAGGGTTAGAAGGCATGTCAAGGGTTATAACAAAAGCTCATGTGGCTGCTCTGATTTATGAACGCCCCGGGCATGTGAGCACTGCAACTCTACTGAGTCTTTTAAAATAGCGTTACCCGAATGGAAAACAGACCTCCAAGTAGGGAGCTGGAGGAATATCAGCCAGTTAGGGAATGACTGAAAGCATGGGAAGGAAACCAAGGAGAGGAAGTAGCTGAGAACAGGAAAGCAAGCGGGAGTAAAATGGCCTGGGGCTCTGAAAGTCAGTACAGGCCTCTTTGAGTTTTTGCCTTGGGAAGCCAGAGAAGCAACTGGGTAAAGGACAGGATGTTGTGCTTAAACAAGACGGGTGATTTTTTTTGCAGATTGTTCTGTTAGACAAGAGCAGTGCTCTGCGCATCTGAAGAAGTCCTTTACTGGGATCTCTGTCACTTAGGATCTCGATAACACTGCAAACACCTCTTTCGGTGTCTGTTTGACTGATACATTACCAGTCGACCACTACTGGTTGTAATTCTAGCCTTTTGCTACCGCAAAGCTTGCCATGGCGCTAATAAATATACCATAACTTTCAGCAGTTCAAGAGCTCTGGCAGCAGTGAGCTACATGTATTTCATGACTGTTTGTATAAATAATGTCTTTAATTCTAGGCTGTTTGAGAACACCTGCTAGTAGCTTTCAGAACAAGGCAGCTTGTCATCTTTAGTTATTTTATTTCTGTGTTTCATGCCTGGTGCTCCTAGCTTTGTTTAATTCCATGTCCATATTAGGTAACTGAGATCCAAACTCAAGCTATGACCCTCATTTCCCAGCAAATTGCAAGTGAATCCTTGCAAAGACGCATTCATAGGTGATAATTGCCTGTGTGCCTTTCAGTTTGTGCAAATGTCTTTGACGGGAGAAACAGCTCTAGGAACAGGCTTGGCTACAGTATTTCTACCAGAATAAAGCAGTAGTCCTTGGGAATACCATTCGAGGAGTAAATGTAAGGGGTTATCATGATACACCAATATTGAGTACTCGGGTCTATTTAGAAGTGAGAAGGCTGTCCTTCTTCCCTCTTCCTTATTCACTCCCACACCCAAGTAGAAGAAAGCACTTCTATATTAGAATAATGCATATACAGTAACAGGCTGTTGTTGGGAATACAGGTACTTTTTTTGTAAATGACTTCTTCCTTTTTTCCTAATCTGCAGTATCAGAAAAATGGGCAAGGGAACTTGTTCTCTGGCAGCACCCCCTTTCAAATAATGGATTTTTTAAAAGTAATTGCAGAAGGACTTGTCTTCATACATGGTTAAGAAATGAATGTAAAAATATCAAGAGATGCTCATACTTTCTGTTCCTATATATGGAGCGCAAAGCCTTGATGGTCTCGAAATGAGGTGCCTGAAAGTAAAGTAGTCGGTGCAGGTGCCAAACCAACTTCCTGAAGCAGAAGTATAAGGTCATGCTTTTTACTTTTGTTGTGAAGCCTCACTGAAATGAGCCCTGGCCCTTGTTACGGAGTAGCTGCCACACTTCTGGAGAGAGCATCTTTTCAGTACTCTTGTGATTTGCAGACTTTTTTGATCTTGTGGATGCAGGAAACAAAATCCCTGCCTTGCATGGTGAGGGGAGAGAGCAGAAAGGTCCTTTCTCTTTGAGAGCCAGTTTTCAGGGATAGCAGCAGGGCAGGAGTCCTACCTGGTACTGTTGCTGGCATGTCGGTGCATGAAAGTCAGCGCATCTTTTGGCAAAGGATGGCGGGTAGGGCCAGGGGACAGTCTGCAGCATATGCTTGCCCAGAGGCTCATGATCAACGATTTGCCTCACATGCCTACCACCCACGCACGCAACTTGGCAGGATGTTTCCTAGAGCAGCTGGCATTTCCACTGGCACTCAGTAGCTCCTGCCCAAGGGGGCAAGTTTAGCTCTTAGATGAGCAAGAAGCTGTATGACATCTCCACGATAGGGACCTTTGTGTACTGTGTGTCCTGCCAAACAAAGGACGAGAGTGTTTATATACACTGTTGTCACACTGTGGCGATAGCGTGAAAACAGTGTGTGTGGCACACTCATCCTAAATTCCACCTAGGCCTCCACTCAATAATGCAGCGATGGGGCTAACAAAACAGGGGGACGGCTTTCTTGTATGGCTTTACTTTCCATACATCCATCGAGTGTGCCACTTCAAGAGAAAGGGACAAAAGTTGACTATTATCAGAGCTTAAATAAAGATACCTACAAAGAGGGACCCCCAGTATGAAGAGAAAACGTGAACAATGTGGACTAAGGAGAATTGTGAAGTTATCCGACCTGTCTGGACTGAGCATGCAGACCCTCAGCTATTGCTACGGGATCAGAATGCCTAATTTAGCATGACAAAGGATTTTTAAGCCCGAAAGCTTGCTAAGAAAAACATTTCCAACTATTTAAGTTGGTCTAATAAAAAATATCAGATTCACCCAAAGAACCTTGTCTGCCTATGACCAACGCACTACAACTTACACCCCTGTAATTTAGCAAGATGCACTAATGTTTCATAGGTAGTCCGTGAAGTTCTCTGGGAGGAAAGGGTGCTTTTCTGTGTAAAACAGCATATGGCTGCTTGTATTTTTGTCTTGACTAAGCAAGGTATCTCTGTATCAAGCCACTGCACAGGATGCTGCCTGTTAGTCTGCCTGAGATTTGCCTCCCACCCCTTTGGCTCATGGCCCAGTTTCAGTGGGGCATGTGTACGTGTTTGCAAGTTGACAGCTGTGGCCTAACATCAGAATTCCCCTTAGTCCACATTGCTCAAGCTTCCTCTTCGTACAGTAGGTCCTCCTTGTAGGGACCTTTACTCGAGCTCTGGTAATAGTCAACTTTTGTCCCTTTCTCTTGAAGTGGGACACTCGATGGATGTATGGAAAGTGAACCCATGCAAGAAAGCCATCCCCCTGTTTTGTTAGCCCCATCACTGCATTATTGAGTTGAGGCCCGGGTGGAATTTAGTTCACAAAGTGCCAAATACTGGTATTGCTGTAACTGAGCGGGGAGGAGTTTGTGGCAAAGCGTAAATCTTGAAATTGTCCAGCTAAAGAACATCATATGATTTATCAGTTTCGTTAACATTGGTTTTTAGCCTGGCCTCGTTTGTGTACATTGGAGGTTCATTAGATAACTGTTCTACCCAGAGCTAGCTTTGAAATAAGGATACCTTGGACTCTTATCTGCATTATTTACCATAACAAACTGACTGCTTTAGTAAAGAAATCGGATTCACTGCCCTGAGGTTGAACCTCAAGAAATAAAACTGAATTACTGTCGTCTGGAGCAAATTTGAGTAGAGGAAGGGGTTTGTAAACGCTGGGCAGCAAAATTTTTCATGCTTGAGACAAGGCCACAGATTGTGCACATGTTCTATGGTGATTGCTATGGCAAATACAGGATGTAGCAAATGAAGAGTAGACGTACAAGGGATATAGTTTTTTTGTGGTGGGAATATAATTCCATGTAATCCAGTATAGAAAAAAAAAATCAGTAAAGAGGATTCAAGATGTCATCTCTGCCATAGCTAAGAAATATGCTGAACTGGATTGTTTCATCTAACAGCAACAATTGAGCCGTAAAGCTGGGAGAAACATTTCATGTGAACTGGATGGAGGATTTTTTTTTTAATCTCTAGTAAAAATATGGTGTATGGTGGAGAAGAGGAAATGTATTTTGAGAATCCTGACTATAAACCTTATTTATTTTATTTAGGTTCGTCTTAAATGAGCTGGTACAGACTGAGAAAGACTATGTCAAAGATTTGGGAACTGTGGTAGAGGTGAGTTGAAATGGTCTTACAAGCTCATTAGAATGAAATGGTGATTTTCCATCAGAATCAACAGTGGGCTGGAGAGCACCCATTTAAAAATGTGTGTTTAAAACCATTTTTCTGTCTTGCCTGGTATGCAGCTTCCTAAGTCTAAGCTGTGGGGTTGCTGCTAATAACTTTGGAAACTGCTGATGCCACCTGCAAATATTACTAAATGTTAGGTTACAAGGGTGTAGGTTGTAGCTGTGTGGGTCTAAGGACATAAGCAGACGAGGTTTTTTGGGTGAATCAGATATCTTTTATTATGTAAGTTGGTCTAATAAAAGCAAATGTTAGGTTTTAACTCAAATGTGTTCCTTCAACTGGGTTGTGATTGAGACCTTTCCAACTGTGATCAAGACCTTTCCAGGCTTCAAGACTATGATGGAGAATAGATCACCTTTTTACTACTATACAGAGATCATGGAAATCATAGGAAATTAGGGTTGGAAGGGACCTCAGGAGGTCATCTAGTTCAACCCCCTGCTCAAAGCAGGACCATCCCCAACTAGACCATCCCCAGCCAAGGCTTTGTCTAGCCGGGTCTTCAAAACTTCCAAGGATGGAGATTCTCTGTTCCAGTGCTTCACTGCCCTCCTAGTAAGAGATTTTTTCCCCCTAATATCTAACCTAAACTTCCTTTGCTGCAACTTGAGCCCATTGCTGCTTGTTCAGTCATCACTGAGAACAGTCCAGCTCCATCCTCTTTTAACAACCCTTTAGGTAGGTGAAAGCTGCTATTAAATCCTCTCTGTCTTCTCCAGAGACAATAAGCCCAGTTCCCTCAGCCTTTTCTGATAAGTTATGTGCCCCAGTCCCATGAACCATTATTGTTGCCCTCCACTGTCCTCTCTCCAACTTGTCTACATCCTTTCTGTAATGGGGGGCCCAAAACTGGACACTACTCCAGATGTGGCCTCAGTAGTGCTGAACAGAGGGGAAGAATCACTTCCCTCGATCTTCTGCCAACACTCCTACTAATACAGCCCAGTATGCCATTGACCTTCCTGGCAACAAGGGCACGCTGTTGGTTCATATTCATTTTATTGTCCACTTTCCCCCCCAGGTCATTTTCTGTAGACCTGCTGCTTAATGAGTTGGTTCCCATCCTCCTTGAAAAAAGAACTGACTACTAATAACATCAACATAATTCAGCATGGCACAAACCAGAATCTGGCATTTTTAATACCTCCAAAATCTGGTACCTACACCCAAGCTTCATGGCCTATAAAGTTTTTTTGCCTTAGTTTTTTTTAATGATTTGGGATAAAAGAAATAGGGTACAAGTTGTCTGATATTTGCAGAATTATGCGCTAATTCTTGGAGGCTTAAAGTTTGGGTCCCCAACTGGACCCTTAGCTCTTGACTTTGAGGCAGTCGGCGTACTAAATTCCAGTTGTAGCAAAATGGGGGATCCAAAACCAGGGGTTTTTTACTGTTTGTCAGTTTATCAACTCAGTGACTGTTCTCCCTTCCACACAGTAGTTGCTTTCAAAAGCTTTCAACTTGTGTGTTGTCATACTAGTGAAATATGATACAAATGTAAACCGATGGAGCTGCAAAGCTCCAAAGACTCCTAATGTAATGCTCAGGAGGCATGAGAAATCCTACTTATGTGGATTTGTGCTCCCAAAATACATTCTTTCATAAATGGAAGAAAAAATTATCTGTTCAGAGTTTGTCATCTTGTGCTTCTCTGGGAATCCAAAAACTCAACAAAAACTACCTTTTTATTTAACTTTCTTCTAATTGCACTTGTCTCTTTAGTGACATTTAACAAAGGCTTAGTTAACCATTGTACATCTGCAGAATAAATCCTCATATAGCTTACTTTTAAGCAAGTCGTATAATTTTTAAAATAGCGAGGACTAGTATCTTGCTTTGAATATGTGTTAAAAGGCATTTATAAACTCCTGCTTTTCTTCTAAGGCAAGAAATCCTATGTATTGTGACACGTAACTTGTACTTGCTCAGAAACAAATGAGCCTAATTGTTCTTCCTCTTCAGTTGGTCCATTTGCTAATTGCTGATCTCTCTTGCATTAAAGGGCTTCATGAAGAGAATAGAAGAAAAAGGGGTTCCTGAAGATATGAAAGGGAAAGACAAAATTGTGTTCGGCAATATCCACCAGATTTATGACTGGCACAAAGAGTAAGTCTTTTTAAAGCATCTTTGATAATTGTACGTTATTAAAGGAAAGAAATAAAATGAGAATTGTGGTGCTTGGCTTCTATCCATGCTTCTACACTTGGATTACTTCAAATTCATCTTGGAAAACTTTCAGGCCAAAATTTCCAAGGTGTGGTAACTAAATAACAATAGTCCGATTATTCAGAGGTGCTTCTGTTTAACCTCTGCTTCCATTGGTCTCAGTGGGCACATCTACACAAGCCGTTTACTGCAGAGTTGACTAATTAGCTCCACAATAAACCTTGTGCATCTACAAGTGCCCCCCTATTAGGCTGGAGTAAAATAATTAACTCCACAGCAGGGTAGTGTTTGTAAATACAAGTACTACCCTGCTGCCGAGATTTTTTACTCAGCAGCAGTGCACATGTAGACACTACCCCGGCCGGCTGGGTCACAAGGGTGCTTCAGTGTGGGGGGCTGTCTGTCAGCTAGCCCCACGCTAAAGTACCTTTTCGCCCCAGGCAGCCCTTCTGCAGCATGTTGAACTGGGGGGACCAGCCCTGGGCTGGCAGGCCGACCCTCCCCTTTCTCTTGATCTAAATGATCAATTTGCAGTATCAGATACCTTGAACAGAAGATTTAATTAGAATAGAATAGTGTCTTCAGGCAGACTTTTGTCTGATTCTGCACAGAGTGCTTTTTAACAACACGATAGAGGCCCTGGTTAGAAATATGCACATAAGCAACTAGATTAGGATGGCTGCTGATACTTTCCTGATTTTATTTGTAATCCTATGAATGTTTTGTTATAATAGTATTCTCCAAATGTCCATATCTGGTCACTGAGCTCAAATCTGGAAGGTGGCTTTTTTGTCTTGGCAGTAGTCCATTTGCATTTGTAAACTTCCATACTCGTGTGTTGAATTAGAGGAAAAAGTGTAAACTTGAGCAATTCATGCCAAGATAAGGCTTCTGTCTGCTTCTCTGCTGAGTACTTGTGACACTCTGGGCGCAGACAGAAATGCAGCTCCCCGCTGTAAGTGAGAACGCTTTGCAGGAAGCGGCCTGTGTGACAGCGATCCCGTGGAGCAAACAGAAGTTCACTGTTGGTTCCAGGAGGGAATTTAGCTGCTGGCTGCCCCGCACCCAGTTTCTCCTACCAATGGCTCCTCCTCCCCTCCAGCCCCTGCTGTTTTCAGAATGGGAGGGGGGGGGGGAAAGGGAGCAGAAGGAGCTTGTTCGAGGGGTTTCTCAGCTGGGGCTGGAGGGTGCAGTGGGTCCCCACCCCATGGCGGCTCCAATACACCTGCCCCACCCTCCAGCGGGGGCTGAAACCCCTCCCCCCAGATTCA